ATTGAATATGCCATGGACTGCCAAGAAAACAAACAGATTCATCCTAGAGAGGGTTAAACCCAGCGGCTCCTTGGAGGCAAGATTCTGAGGCTTCGTCTGACATACTTTGAACATGTTTTAAGGAGAGACTGGTCCTTGGAGAGGGACATCATTCTTGGGAGGGTGGAGGCACAGTACAGGAGGGGAAGGCCCTCTATGAGGTAGATTGATTCAGTGACTGGGATAATTGGGAGGGTGTATTTGAGACAGCGCGATTGGCACAGGGTAGAGAACGGTTTAGGGCTGTTGTACATAAGGTCGCTATGAGTCGCAAGTGAATCGAGGGCACATAACAACAACAACAACAACAACAAAGGTCCCCTAAATACCGAGACTGCCTTTCTCTTCCTATTTGCCTCTGATAACCATGAATTCTTGCCTGTAAGCCTATTGCAGATATGTTAAATTACGGCATCATACAGTACTTGTCCCTTTGTGGTTTCTTTCACCCATCATGTTTTCTAAGGTTCATCCAGAGTCTAGAATGTATTTGGACTTCATTTCTCTTATGACTGTGTTATGATGTGTTACATGCATATGTTATGAATATATTAGTGGTAAGAGAAGAATGAAAGAAAATTGATATATGTTATAGTGTGTATAATTGTATTAGTATATTTCTAAAAAGATCTGGACAAATTTGTTGTTGGCTTTCCCTCTCTTTTCTAATCTTTCCTTTTTTCTGATGGTGTTTTAATTAAACAAACTCTGGTCACAAAATAGGTATGTTCATTAAACGGGATAGTTTCCTCTATCAACTTCCCTCATGCCTCTTTACACACCACCACACACTAATGACTGAGACTAGCATAGCATACTCTACAGTTTCTTACTACATTGTTAAAAGGGGATAATTTCCTTTTCTAAAATATTCTTCCTAAATTACATTTGAAAACCACTATTCCCCCCTGCCCCCCGCATTGTTTATCTTTTATTGTCATTTAAATCTCTTTTACTTTGAAAGACACAGGAAAACAGAGTGTCACATTATTTGATACATTTAATTTTCATACATCTTGATATATAATTTATGGTCATAAAAGGAGCAGACACAATCTGGGGGTGATAAGTGACTACACGCAATAAACTCCATTTAATAAAATAGTGTTCTTAAAAAAAAAAGCAACTGATTGCCATTGAGTAGAGCCGACTTAGGGGGGTTTTGGAGGCTATAGATTACATAGCAGGAGATTGACCATCTTTTGAGCTGCTAATGAATTAAAACTGGCTACCTTTTGGCTAGCAGCCCGACTCCCTATGGACTATGCTTCCAGAGCTTCCTTAAATGCTTTTAGCATGAATTCATTCTGTATTTGTCTCTGTAAATAGGTCCACTGATAACAGAAACACCCCATTTCTGTTGACTTCAATATAATAAGATAAAGTGAAAATTAGAATAGCAACAATTGAAAGGGTACTTCAACTTACATTTAACGCTGTTTGATACTCTCCGGAAGCCAAGTATGCCAAACCTAAGTAATAGGAAGCTTCACCCTCCATCTTTTTGTCATTTCCTAAAGAGACGATGAAGAGAAATTAACTGTAACATTAAATAAATTTTTTTGCTAATGATGTCAGTTTGAGGGCTAAGGTGTGTCTTATTCAGGCCATGGTCTTTCCGGTCATTTGCTGTGCATCTGAGAGCTAGACAATGAATAAGGATGACAGAAGAAGAGTTGACGCCTTTGAGCTGTTGTTTTAGAGAAGAGCACTGAACATCCCATGGATGGCCGAGAGAACAACCAACTATGTCTTGGAGATGGTGCAGCCAGAGTGCTCTTTAGAGGCAAGAATGAGGAGGCTTCCTTCACCTCACATACTTCAGACATGTTGCTGGAGGGAGTATTCTTTAGAGACAGCCATGATTTTGAAATGGGTGGAGGGTCAGTGAAGGAGAGACAGACCCTCCACCAGGTGGATTGACACACTGACTGCCCCAATGGGCTCTAGAGTGTCAGGAAGTGTGAAGATGGCACAGGATAGGACAGGGCCCAGATCTACCTTTGGTTCATAGGGTTACACTATGAGTCGTAGTCCACTTGATGGCACCTCATAACAACAAAACAGCGGAAATTTCTTGCAAAACATGATACACATTTAGCAACAATCCCTGAAGCCTAATTATACTGAGGGGAGAGGAAGACATGAAAATGCAAAATTGCTGGATCATAAGATGCTAGAGTAAGATACCTTAATAGTGTAATCACTGCTTCTACAGACACAGCCTAATGTCATTATCAGTAATAATATATTACTATTTTTGTTAATAATTTGAAGATCTATAATGATACATCATAGGATCTATACAGTGCATACTGGTAAAGGATATCAACCCTAAAAGGGAACTACAAATTTATACTCACAAATGTATGTTCTAAACCTTGAGTAATCAGTAATGTGGTATGTTGTTATGTGCTGTTCAGTGGGTCTGACACATAGCAACCCTATCTAGCAAATTAAGGAACTACTTTTTCAGTTGCATGTAAAAGCTGTAGTTTCAGTTTAGCTGAATATAATGCATAGAACTTGACTTTGTTTAATGAAATGCCATGCAAAATTATTCGAATTCCAAATATAGTCTTCTTTAATAAAGACTGGTAACTCTTGTCAAAGTGTTTGACAAAGAATTTCGTTTTCTCATTCTTGTGAAATGTGTTTTGTTCTAGGAACTATCCAATTCCTTTTTCCAAAAGCAAAATGAATAAAGGTGTAACATGCAGGTGAACACGACATACATCAAGCCATTTTAGAAGAGCATAATTTATTTACAAGAGTCATTAAAGGTTCCCATTTAAAAGACAGTAAGACAGAACACTATCCATTTTCTATTTTTAGAAGTTATTGTCTTCCCAATGTCAACTAAGATGAGGGTAAGGCATGTACTATCAGGTTAAGCCTTGTTATGCTTTGTAAAGTCAGTATCTTTAGATTTCTGAACCCTGCACTGCAACAGTGATGGATTCCAGCCGGAGCAAGCAATTCTCCATGCTGCATTCACTCTCACCACTCCCCAGAATTACCCATTGTGAAGCAACCTTTCAGCTGAAAGACAGCAAGGAAACAAAATGGTAAATGCCAGTGACAAGCAATTTTTTTCTCCTCTAGCTATTTTCACCAATTGCAGAGAATTATACCCTCAAGGTCTCACTTCAGCAGAGTTGATGGCACCAGTGATCCAGTCACAAGAGTTGTAACTTCTACAATTCAACTGGTCTTTACCTTTTTCTTTGCTACAGCTTTATGCCTGCTGGGGATGGAGTTAAGTCTTGGGGAGGCACAGATGGAGTAGAACTAAGGAATTTTGAGGGAAAGCTGACTTTTTTAATTGAACTAATAAAAAGCGAGATATGGGGAGCTCTGGTGGCCTAGTAGCAAGAAGCTGCACTACAATCCCAGAGATATGTGGTTCGAATCCACCAGATGCTCTGCCGGAAAAGGAGGGGCAATCTCCTCCTGTACCTGTCAGATCTGATTTGACGGTACATACACAAAAAATAAAATAAAAAAAGCGAGATACACCACAACAACATAAAGGTAAATAGTCCAATAGAAAAATGGGCACAGGACACAAACAGACACTTCACCAAAGACATTCAGATGGTGAGCAAACACATGAAGAAATGTTCAAAATCCCTAGCTCTAGGAGAGATGCAAATCAAGGCAACTATAAGATATCATCTCACCCCAGTAAGACTAGCAAAATTTAACAGAACAGCAAGTAACAAATGCTGGCAAGGTTGCAGAGAGACTGGAACTCTTATTCACTGTTGGTGGAAGTATAAAATGATGCAACGGCTATGGAAAGTGGTGTGGCACCTTCTCAAAAAGTTGCAAATAGAAATACCATTTGATCCAGCAATTCCACTACTGGGAATATATCCTAACGAGACCATAACTGCCACCCAAGCAGATATATGCACACCCATGTTTATCATGGCTTTGTTTACAATAGCAAGGAGTTGGAAGCAACCTAAGTGCCCATCAACAAATGAATGGATAGAGAAGCTGTGGTTTATTCACATAATGTAATACTACACTGCAGTAAAAAAACAAGGAATTAATGCAATATTATTCAAAATGGGTGACCCTGGAGGACATTATGCTGGTTGAATTTTTTCGTTCCCAAAGGACAAACACTGCATAGTGCCACTGCAGTAGAATGGGACTGACATCAGGGTTGGGGTAAGAATGAGGAAAATTGGATAAATTATGTATACTGCACGAAATGGATGAGGGAAAGAACAGTTTAAAAGCAATATATGATATTACGATTATCATAAGAGTCTGGAATGAAGGTTACAGAGTGGAGTATACTCGGGGTGGGGCAGGGAGAATCGGGGGGGATTGTATAACAATGAAGGAATTTTTCTTTTACTTTTCAAAGAGAAGAGCAAACTGGAGGGGGGAAGGTGAGGGGAGAAATGTGCAACAATGAATGAATGGAAATCCAAAATCTCTGTAAATGTTCATTAAAGTTAATAAGAATTAAAAAAAAATTATTAAACTTTTTTTAAAAAGAAAAAAAGTGAGTTTAGTTAAGTTTGTACTGGCTGGAAGTTTAAATGCTGAAAAGGCAGACTGGTTAAGTTAGTACTGGCTGGAAGTTTAAATGCTGAAAAGGCCCTTAGTTTAAGGAAGGCAACTGGCAACTATTTCAGCTGATAAAATAAGGTTAGCTCAGAAAAGAGGAAGAGTGTCAGAAAATCTACATTTGAAGGGAGGAAGAAAAAAACTTGGAGTAGGAAGATTTTTGCCTCATCATAAGTTGAAACCAACTCAGTAACAACAGTAAGAGAGCTATAATAAAAGGGAGAGACAATAACAAGTGTCAGCAAAATCAAGGCAAAATGGAAGTCACTGTACATTCCTGATGGAAATATAAAATGATGTGGCTACTTTGGAAAACTGCTTGGCATTTTCTCAATAAATTACATAATTACTACATAAACCAGTGCTGGTAGAGATATCTAAAAGGAATAAAAATGTATTTGTACACAAAAATCTCTACACAATATAATTATTGTTAGTTGCTTTTGAGTTGACTAGGACTCCTAGAGATGCTATGAACAAGAGATTGGAAACCACGTCCTGTCGTGTGCTATCGCTGTAATCCCTGATGCACTCTAGGTCATTGCTGCAATCACTGTATCAGTGCATCTTGTTTAAGGTCTTCTTCTCTATTGATGATCCTACAGTTTCCCCAGCTTGATGTCTTTTTTGAAGAAAAAATATGTCCAAAGTGTACGAGATGAAGTTTCACCTTTTTTACCTCTAAGAATTCTGCTTGAAATACCCCCAAGACACATTTTTTTTCTTTTGGAAGTCTATGGTGTACTCAATATTCTTCATAAATGTCACAATTGTAAGGCATAATTTCTTTCTTTTTATTCATTGCCTTCTTTATACAGTGTCCAACTTTCAGATGCATAGGAGGTAACTGACAATATCATGGCCTGAATCAGGTGTAACTTAAGTCTTTAAATGGATATCCTTGCTCATTAGCACCTTGGTGAGGTGATTGGCAGGAGATTTTTACAAATGCAACAGATATCTTGTTTTCTTGACTGCTGCTACCATGGCTATTGTTTGTAGATCCAAGTAAAATGAAGTTGTTGACAAACTCAATCTTTTCTCTCTCAATTATTAAGCTACCTAAGGGTCCAGGGTGAGAAGGTTTGTTTCCTTGACATTGAGATGCTATCCATATTAATGGAGTGCCATTTCACCATTGGACTGATAGGCAACATCATAATACATGGAGAAAATATTCAAACTGTCAGTGCCTTCTTCTTACTTAGCTCCACAATCAACACCTGTAGTACTAGCAGTCATGAGATCAGGAGGCATAGAGCATTAGTAAAGCCTGTAGTCAAGGATTTTTCCAAATGATTGAGGAGTATTGATGTCACTTTGAGGACTAACGTGCATCTGATTTAGGTCATGGTATTGTCAATCACTTGCTATGCATCTGAGAGCTGGATAATGAATAAATATGACAGAAAAAGAATTGAAGAGTTTGAGCTGTGATATTGGAGAAGATTACTGATTGGACTGCCAAAAGAGAAAGAGATATATCTTCGAGAAGGTGCAGCCAGAGTTCTCCTTGAAGGCAAAGATTATGAAGCTTCATCTCACGTAGTTTGAGGCTATCCCTTAGAGAAGGGCATCATGCTTGGAAAGGTGGAGGGTCAATGAAAGAGAGGTAGATCTTCAACCAGGTGTATTGACACACTGACTATAGCAATGAGCTTGAATATGTCTGAGATTGAGAGGATGGCAAAAGATAGGGCAGAGTCTAAATCTGTTGTTTATAGGGTTGCTAGAAGTCATACTCAACTCAATGGCACTTAACAACAACAACGACAATTTATATTAAAGGCAGGTCTGGTTGCCAAGTGGTTAAGAAGCTGTGCTGCAATTCCAAAGGCACACAGTTTGAATCTACCAGCTGTTCTTCTGGAGAAGAATGGGGCAGTCTCCTCGTGCTATTTAGTGCTGCTGGAAACCTGCTGGAGGGTCAGCGATGGTCGATTCTGACATAATGACACACAACAACAACAGCAACAACATCCATGTTAAAGGTTGTAGTGTCTGGTCTTCTTCAATAAGAGCTTCAAGTCTGCTTCACTTTTTGCAAGCAAACTTGAGTCTTTCTCCAATCCTGATGCCACATTCTTCTTCATATATATAGCCCCATAACACAAATTATTTCCTCAGTATACAGACTGAATGTTGTTGTTTGTTTTTAGGTGTCATCAAGTTGAGTATGAGTCATATTGACCCTGTGAATAACAGATCTAAATCCTCCCCTATCCTGTGCTATCTTGACAATCTCTAACACGTTCAAGCTCATGGCTAGAGTCATTGTGTCAGTCCACCTGCTTAAGGGTCTTTTTCTCCTTCACTACCCCTCCACCTTTCCAAGCACGAAATCCTTCTCCAAAGAATAGCCTTTCCTAGCAATATATCCAAATTGGATAGGAAGTTTCATCTTCTTTGCATCCATGGTACACTCTGGCTGCACAGAATGAATGGGACGAAGAGACTATGACTGTGGCACATACCTTTCCTGTTTATAAACAATTCAGTGTTGTGTTCCCTTGCTTTGTTTGGACAACTTCTTGGTATATGTATGGGTTTTGTTGTTGTTTTGTTATGTACTGTTGAGTTGTAACCGATCCATAGCTGGCCCTCTCATGGGGTTTCAGTATGGGAGGAGATTGTCCATCTTTCTCCCATGCAGCAGCTGGTGGATTAGAACCACATGTTCTCATGAATTCAGTACAGCTTCTTACTATGGTTTGCACAGACATTTGACTGAGTAGATCATAACAAATTATGAGTAGCATTGAGAAGAATAATGCCTGTGCATAGTCAACAAAACACCAGTAACATCTTTCTGGTAGACTCTGTTTTCAACAAAAATCCACCTGATGTTAATTTATGGGACATCATTTATAACAAAAGGTGGAAACAGTAAAGTGTCAATCCACAGATGGATGAACAAAATGTGCTTTAAGCAAACCACAGGCTACTATTTAGTCATAAAAAAGAATGAAGTACTGATAGGTGCACTAACATGGAAATTCTAAAACATTATGGTGAGTGAAAGAAGCCAGTTTCAAAAGGCTATATCTTATGATTTCATTGAAATGAAATGTCCAGTATAGACAAATCTATTGAGATAGAAAGCAGGTTAATAGTTGCAGGAGGCTGGAGCGAGGAAGAAATGGAGACTGCTAACAGGGGTAATGAAAATTTTCTGGAATTAGTGATGCTTGTTGAGCAACTTTTTGAACATACTTAAATGCATTGGATTGTATGCTTAAAAAAATGAAGGATAGCAGAATCGAGAGACTGTGCATGGGTGATGCTATACTTGTGCATCACCAAAATGTTTAGCAAAGAAGCAAGCTTGTGGTTGGTGTGATGTTGTTGTTGTTGATTGCCGTTGAGTCAAGCAAGTCTCATGGAGGAAAGATATCTTGTCCAGCCAATCAATGGCTTCGTGATTCAGACTCTCTAACCAGAGAAAGGAGAAGGGACACCTTGTCTCGCAGAGCTTTTCTGCTGCTTTTAGTGCCATGCTTCCTTTGGAGAGCTATCTTAAGTGGCAAAAGAGGGAATGGGTATTTATTAGCTGCTAAAGATACTAGAGAAATTATTCTAGCCTATATATAAGCTTTTTCTTGCACTCCTTATTTCTCTTTTTAAAGGTTAGAGATGTTGTCAGAATGGAAACTGCTTGGTAGCCTCTAGGCTGTTGGAAGAGACCCAAACTCTTTATAAACTACCTTACATTTTAGCAAATTCAAACCTAAAATGGAATGTTACTTCTTAATTGATAGGTTACATTGAAATTCCATGCAACATGGCGTGTGACAAAAGTTAGGTGCTGAAAGCAATCTAAGAGCTAACTCTTTATGTTAACATTTACCCACTTTGGGGAGATAACAGATGACCATTTATTCAAAAACAGCTCATTTAATGGGATATATCATTCAATTGCAGGGATTTCCTATGGGCAGAACAACAAATAATATTAAAAGAAGTAACTGAAAGAGTAAGATGTTTATGGCTACTCTTTTAGTAAATTCAGATTACACCAGTAAATTATGTTCTGTTTACTTTATTAAATATTAAGCCCATCTATTAAATATATCCATGAGCTCATAAACTTTAGATCAAGAGCATAGATTTGTTTTCTCCTTCTTTGAAAAGGCTACTCTATTAATAAGTTACCATTTGGTAATAAACTATCTTTGCATTCAAAAATTTAAAGCTTATAAAAACCATGTCACTCAATTTTTATCTTTTTTTTGTACAGAGAAATGATTAAAGATGTCCCCAGCTCTCACAAAAATGTTTTTTACTGCTGTTAATGTGCACATGAATCACCTACTGATCCTTAAAATGCTGATTCTGATTCCACGATCTAGGCTGGATAAGGACAGAGCTTCTGCTCTCCTGCAGGCTTCCTGGTTTCAAGCTTACTGCCACTGAATGGGTTCTGACTCACAGCAACCTTCCCTCCACCAGGTTTCTGAGGCCATAAATCATGTGGGAAGAGATGCTCATCTGTCACCCATGGAGTTGCTGATGGACCAGAACTACCAGAGACACACTTACTGGGTTAGCAGCACAATTCACTGAGGATGGTGAACCCAGGGATCTCTAGCTTTCTGGTAAAGAGTAGAAATTTGAAGACTCCCACCACTCCATAGAGTAAGATGAAGTCGACTTGTCCTGTTAACATTTACAGCCTGGGAAACCAAATGGAGGGCTGTCAAGGATCTAAACAGACTTGATATCAATGGATTTTGTTTTTAGGTTTATTTTTCTATTAAGGAGCCCTGGTGGCTCATCAGCTAAGCACTCAGCCATTAACCAAAAGTTTGTCCATTTGAACTCAGCACCTGTGCCGTGGGAGAAAGATATGGCAGTGGGCTTCCCTCTGGAATATGAAGACCACAGTCCTGGAAATCCAGAGGCTCACTGTGAATCTAAATCAGCTGGATGGCAGTGCATTCTCAGAGTTTATTTTCCTGTTTCTCTTAACTAAATATTTATCATGATTTCTCTATTACCTGACAATAATGAATTTACAAAAGATAAAATGTCTGTCAGATTCTAAGAAAGAAATAACCTTTTAAAAAAGCAGGGGAAAGTACTCTCAACTCCTCCTCTTTTAAATTGCATAAATGACCTTAAACTCATTATGGTTTACAACACTGCTCTCAGAGGATTGCAATTTTGGAGATAAAGCTTTCACGAATTTAATGGATTTCTTGTTGTCAGCAGTAAGGCGCTGCTGTTTTACAGTGAAATTTGAAAATATATTGATGGCATTTGTCTTTGCATTTCATAGGAAATAATCACCCAAACACTTGCCGATGTTTACTTCACTCGAGGGGAAACCAGTGTCTGCCCATTAAAGAAAGCAGTGCGAGCGTGTTCTCTTCCACCTACCGTCTTTGGCTATTTCAGAAGCTTTTATTAGAATTCTGATGGCCTTTTTGTATTCTTTATTTTCCAGCATTTTGTCTGAGAGTAATCTGTAAATCCTCAGGAGACTCTCACAGGCCAACAAGTTGAGAAGGCGGCCTGCCTCGTCTGTCCAGATCCGCCCCTGCGTCAGATGATGGAATGCTTCATAATGCTCAGCAGCTTCTTGAAGTTGACCTAAAGAACAAAAGCAATTCATAAACATAAACCACAAGCTAGAACGTATTTTCAAACAGTTTGTGTGTATCTTATGCTTTACTATTGAAGTGGGGAACCCCAGGCAAAATTTCTATGGCTGAAAAAGACAAACTGGGATTCAAGGTCTCTTTAATTGATCTCAAATATAGCATTACTTTTGAGTGGACATCTGCTAAAGAAATGGATTATGTTTAGTCTCTAGGTGGCACAAATAGTTAAGTGCTTCACTGCTAGCCAAAAGTTTGGTTGTTCAAACCTACCCAAAAGCGTTTCAGAAGACAGGCCTGGAGGACCTGCTGTTGAAGGTCCATGATCTTGAAAACCCCGCAGACTGGTTTTACTCTACACACAGGGTAACCAGGGGTTGGGATCAACTCAATATCATAATAACAACTAACATATACTCATGGACAGTATAAAAGCCCTATCCTAACTATGAATAACAATCCTATTAACTAACATTTATTTAACATTTTACATGGCAGTTAGATGCTTTACTTCCATTTTTCTATTATTCATCAAAATAAGTCTTAGGAGTTAAGGCTTCTATAGTGCATTTTACAGAAAAGAATGTTGAAGCTCAGTGAGATTAAGATTACCACCCAGGATTGTACGGCTGGTGAGTGGTGCAAACGGCTAACTGAAAGGTGAGCAGTGAGAACCTATTCAAGGGCATCTGAAAATAAAGACTTGGCAATCACTTCTACATGATATACTGAGAAAGGCTGGGCAATCTAATCACATCACTCAGCTGTGAGTTTACTGTACCTAGTGGCTTTTGGGTTACTATGATGCTAAAAGCTGTGCCATCAGTGAATCAAATACATACAAGGTTGTTTATGGGGGCATAGGTTTCAACAGAGCTTCCAGACTGAGATAAGCTATGAAGTTTCCAAGGGGAAGCATGACTCCAATAAGAAGCAAAAGCTGTAAATATCCATTAGGAATTGGAACATGAAAAGTACAAGGCATGAATCTAGGAAAATTGGAGGTCGTCAAAATGAAATGTAATGCTAGAAGATTGATACTCTAGGTATTAGCTGAAATGGACTCAGAGTGGTCATTTGATTTGGCAAATCATATGGGCTATTAATAAATAATTGAAGAGAAATGCTGTTAACATTCATTAACAAAAAGAACTGGGGTTTTTTTACGGTTTCCAGTCATTCATTGTTGCACTTTTCTCCCTGCCCACCTCCTCTCCCCATTCACTCTTCTCCTTGAAAACTCTTTCATTGTTATGCAATCCCTCCCAAGTCCACTCAAAAAACATTGTAAGACATATCTTAAAGTACAGTTCTGCCAGTGATAGGATAATATATCCTTACACCTATAGTTAATACGACTACTATTCTACCACTAACATTAAAGATGAAGTCATTGAAGATTTTTATCAAATTATTCAGTCTGAAATTAATCAAACATTTGATCAAGATACATTTCCTGCTGATCAGGATAGGAAAGTTGGAAAATACAACTTTGATGATAACAAACAATGTGGGAGATTTAATGAGAAAATTTTGTAAAACAAAAAACAAACAAATATCTTTGTCATTAGAAATAGCTTTCCCAACAACAGAAATGGTAGATTTATATGGGAATCTTACTAGATAGAATTTAAATTGGGTTTCAATTTAAATAAACAGGATTTAAGTTGCCTACATCTGTTCAAATAGGTACTAAAATTTTCTATATCATTAGTCAGAAATGGGCCAAAGTTTACTGCCAAGGAGATCATCAATTACTCCCATGCAAACTCAAGCTAAAGCTGAAAAAAATGAAAAGAAGTCCATGAGAACCAAAGTACAACCATCAGTATATCACACACGAATTTAGAGACCATTTCAAGAATAGATTTGATAGATGGGACACTAATGACTGAAGCCAACACAAGTTATCCATTACATAAAGGACATCAGTCAAAGGGGAAATGGCCATTGGAAAGACAGGAAATAAAAGATCAAAGTAGACATCAGAGGAAACTCTGAAACTTGTTCTTAAATTATAAGAGGTAAAGCGAATGGAAGAAATAGGAAGTATTTTAAGGAACTATTTTAAGGGACAGCTTTAAACAACTATAACGAAATGTTCAAAAACCTAGAGTTAGAAAACAAAAAAGAACATGTTCAGCATTTCTCAAACTGAAAAGAACTGAAGAAAAAATTCAATCCTCAAGTTGTAATAGTTAAGAGATTCTGTGGGCAAAATATTGAACAACACAGGAGGCATTAAAAAATGGGAAGAATTCAGAGTCACTGTAAATTTCATTTAAAAAAATTGATGTTAAAACATTTCAAGAGGTAGCTAGCATGCTAACATGTGATTAAGAACTGAGCAAATTGAAGGAAGAAGTCCAAAGCTGAACTACAGACATCTGTGAAAAACAGCACTCCAGAATTGATAGAATACAAATGAAAATGTTTGAACAAAAGGATGCAAGGCTGGAGGTGCTTACTCATCTATGCCAAAAAATTAATTAGCATTAAACTGTGCCACCAGAGGATAGGACAAAACTGAGATCTGTTTTTCATAAGGCTGCTATGATCCATAGTTGATGGCAGTTAAGAACAACAACCTGTCACCAGAGCTTGTAATGCTAAGAAATTTGTAACATAGTTATCTGGAGAACTGTCACTTGCTGAAGAGAGTTGAAAAATGGATAAAAGTTAGGGACCTGCCAGAAATGGACAAAAGGACATGGAATTAGGCGTATCACTATTAAAGTAATATAGATCTTGATGCAAAGCAGAGACTATGAGAAAGATTTTTAAATCCCTGTTTTATTAACCATAAATATTATGGACAATGTTATGAAGAATGAGAATTCCAGAACTCACCTGCACTCATACAGAACTTGTATGTAGACCAAGATAGAGTTTGAGCAGAAACAGAGTATTTTAAATTACAAATGAGATTTTAGGGTTGTGTCCTTTCACCATGCTTATTCAACCTATTTATATGAATATGAGTAGCTGGACTATATGAAGAAGAGTGAAGAATCAAGACTAGAGAAACTAACAACCTGCTCTATGTAGATGATACAATCTTACTTCTTTAGAATGACTTGAAGTGCACTTATTGACAAAGATGATCAAATACCTTCTGTATTGATTACACCTCAGCAACAAAACCCAAAAACATGTCATAAATGGACTTGTAAGCAATATCATTATAAAGAGAAAAAAAAACCTGACGTTCTCAAAGATTACATCTGACTTGGATCTTCAATGTTCATAGAAAAAAAAATTAAGCCACACATTGCATAGGACAAATTTGCTACCCATAACCACTTTACAGTGCTAACAACATGCCACTTTGAAGATTAAGGTGCACCTGCTCCAAATCAGTCTTTTCAATCTCTTCATGTGCATGCTAAAGCTGGACAATGAATTTCTCTGAAATATGGTGGTGACATGGCATATATTATGGGCTTTCTTGGAAGAAGTACAGCCAGAAAGCTCCTTAGAAGAGAAGATGACAATAGATCATCTCCTGTCCATTGGGCCCTTTATTAGAAGAGACAAGTCCCTGGAGAGGACTATCACGCTATGGAACACAGAAGGCCAGTTAAAAAAAAAAGAGAGAGAGAGAGAACACTCTACCAAGACAGACTGGAACAGTGGCTGGAGTAATGGGATCCAACATAATAAGGATTGTTAGTTAGGTCCAGTGGTCCTGTGCAGGACTATAAAGCATTCAGTTCTATTGCACACATGCACTATATGGGTCAGCACTACTATTGCTTTATGTGTCATCAAGTCAACTACAACGCACAGTGACCCTATGAACAATAGATTGGAATGTTATCCGATCTTGCACCATCATCATGGTCTCCTCCTTTGTTCAAGCCTATTGCTGCAGTTACTATGTTAATCCACTTTTTGAGGATCTTCCTCTCTGTCATTGACCTTCTAAATTTCCTAGTATGATGTGTGGGGTTTTTTTTCCAAGTTAAGTCCGTTCTAACAACATGTCCAGTGTGGGAGTGTCAAAGCTTTACTATAATTACCTTTGACGAGCACATTGCTTATACTTCATTCAAGAAAGAGTTGCTTTGTTTTGTGGGTTTTTTGTTTGTTTGTTTGTTTGTTTGTTTTAAGCCTATGGTATAGTCAAGGAGCACTGGTGGCCTAGTGGAAAGAAGCTGCACTACAATTCTCAAAGCAGGTAGTTCAAATTCACCAGCTGCTTCACAGGGGAAGTACGGGCAATTTCCTCTTGTATTATTGACTCTCTCTGAAAAGCTGCAGGAGGGTCAGCTTTGGCTCAGTTATGACTCTATGGTACACAACAATAATAATGATATAGGAAATATTCTTGCCAACTCCACAATTCAAAAGCATTGATTATTCTTTGGTCTTCCTTATTCATCATTCAACTTTCAAAAGCATTTGAAACAATTGAAATTAATATGGCTCAAATCAGATGCACCTTAGTCTTTAATCTCACATCCTTGTCCTTAAGCACTTTGGAGAAGTTCTTGATGGCACATTTTCACAATTTAATATGTCTTTTTATTTCTTGAATACATGAATATAAATCATGGATCAATGACTAAAAACTAGATCCTTGATAACTTCCATCTTTTTCCAACCTATCATGATACTACTGCCTATTCCAGTGGTGAAGATTTTTTTTTCTTGACATTGTGGTATAAACCGTATTGAATACTATAGCCTTCTACTAGTAGATGGCATAAAATAACAATGGTCTGCTTTTGAAAAGTCAGCTATTGAGAACTCTGTGAAGCAGAGTTTACTTTGACATGCATGAGGATGACTGTTAGTTGAAGTCAAGTGAATGGTAACTGGTTAAAAGTTGGATTGAGACACTTGGACTCCAGAGTTCATCCTTTTAAATTATTGTCTCACATTGCTTCCTTAAACATATAGCAATTTTTCATTTTAAAACTTATGAAATCTTGAGACATGATGTTACCTACTAAAACTTATAAATTTAAATAATATGGACCTAATAAA